CTGGGTCCCGGGGCCTCGGCAGTCCACCTCCCCTCCTTCCGTTTCAGGGGAGAGCGTCCCCGTCACCAAGACCAACCTGCCGAGCCCCTCCGAGGACCCCAGCGCCCTGGAGGCGGAAGCGTACAGCCCGGAGGCGCACAAGAGGCACACCCTGTTTTGTGGCACCACCGTCATCCAGACCCGCTTCTACACGGCCGAGCTGGTCAAGGCCGTGGTTGTTCGAACGGGTCAGTGGGGCTGCTCGGCTGGGGTCGGCGCAGGGGCTGGGGGGGGGGGGGGGCGGAATTTTTCCGGGGCGCGCGCGTGGGATTTTTCTCTTGCTCTGTGCAGAGCGCAGGACAGTCTTCTTTGGTTGGCTACATTTCTACCCCACCTCTCTACCAAAGGGCTTGGGCGGTGGGTGCTTCCCCACGGTGTCCTGCTCACAGCCTCACAGGTAGATGACGGAGAGCAACAGTGACGTCTTTGGGGCAAGGAGGCCCTTGCCGGAATCCTGCCCTCTGACCAGTCTCCCCCACTGCCTTGTGGAAACTCCCTCAGAGCTCTCCTCCTCCGCAGGACTCAGCCACAGAGCAGGAGCAAAGGAGTCTTGTGGCTCCTGAAAGGCCAGCCGGGTTCTTGTGACGGGACCATCCCTGGGCTCAAGGTCCTGCCCTCTGATGCGTGGGACAGGTCGCCAGCATGCGTGCCAGCACCTACCTGTCAGGAGAGAAGTGGGCGGGGGTGGTGGGGAGCCAGAAGTCCATGGCAACATCCAGTGGGGAGCGGCCCCCCGCTGTGTGTTCCAAGGCAGTGTGCAAAGGGCTCCTGCAGAAGGACCAGCAGCCCCCCTGGCGCCAGCCGCCCCTCCCCTCCCCATAGATTAGCCATGCTAATTTGACACCCCTGGAGGAGAGAAGGCCTTTTGTCTTCATTCTCTCTGCAGGTGCGGAATGAGCTTAGCAAAGTTAGGGAAAGGTGCCACCGCCTGTCTTTGCTTTGCCGGTGGTCTCTGTGTGAGATCCGCATAGAAATGCCACTGGCCTTGCATTCTGGGGCCGTTTGGCCCAAAGGTTTCACTTTCCTCTCTCCTCCCGGGCGGGCGCCCGCCTGCCCTCCTCTGTTTGTATCATCTTTTAAAAGCAGAGTCCCTGCAGGGCCAGCCCAAGGAACCCAGCCTGTTGAGCAAGCTTTTTGAGTTCTCCAGAACTCTTCAGACGACTTCGTCATCGTCAGGAGCGGATTGCGCAATGCGCAGGGTCGCTTCGGTTGGCCTTCGTGCAAAAGGCATTACGTGGGCTTTGTGTCTGGACTGTGCAGTGCGAAAATCAAAGCGCCACACCAGTCACAGAGAGATAAAGAATAAGGCCCAGATCTTGTCCTCTTGTTGGAGGAAGTCTGAAAGACGAACAGAAGAACCGTGTTAGCAAAACACATAGGGATTTTTTCCTAGCAGAGTAATAAAAAATCATTTTTTTATCTGCACTATTGGCCTTGACTGTATTCCTTACCTTTTGGGTACCATGTTTTTTGTGCCTCCTTTGGTGAACTAAAGTCATCCTGCTTTTACCACAAAAAAGTCTTTAAGGGGCCACAAGACGTTTGTGTTCCGGCTTGAACACCTCCCACCGTCTTGCCCAGCTCTTTGACTCCTTTGACGGTGGCTCTCGGTGGTCCCTGTGGCAGACGTGGGCCCTCCCTAAGTGTGAGACAGGAGGTCCTTTGGGTCGAGGACAGTGCTCCCTTCTAATCTGTGGAGAGTCTTGTGAGCAAAAATTCTGCTTTGTGAGCTGCTGGCATTCAAGTTGTGAGTGAGCGATTTGGCTACTGGATAAATGAGTTTGCTCTGGAGCACCATCCTTCCTGAGCTAGGACAAAAATGTATGAGCCAGGGGCTAAAAACCTGTGAGCTGGCTCACACTCACTCAGCTTAGAGGGAACCCTGGTCGAGGAGGGTCTCTCCTCTCGGTTCATGAAGCCCATTCTGAAGAAGTGACCTGTGCTTCTGAAGATCAAACTCGAATCCCCTTCCAAGGGGACGTTCCCAAACCGCCGGGCATAGCTGTGTGTGTTTTTCTGCCCCACCACCGATCTGTCTGCTTTCCAACCTGTATCATGTTTGGGGTGGGGGTGGGGTGAAGGTGCTGCTCCTTCGGGGTTCTCTGAAGGTCTCTTTCGCTCGTTGCAGGCTTCAGCACCTCCAAAGGGCAGCTGGTCCGTTCTATCCTGTACCCGAAGCCGACAGATTTTAAGCTCTACAGGGACGCCTACCTGTTCTTGCTCTTTCTCGTTGGGGTGGCTGGTGTTGGGTTTCTGTACACCGTCGTCAACAGCATCCTCCATCAGGTATTCCTTTCTTCTCTGAGCCATTGAAGTCTTGGGCCAGCCTCAAGATGCTGTAGACCGCGGCCGCTTCTCACAGAGAGTCGGGTCCAGTTCCCTCCGTGGTCCTGGTGCAGTTCTGGGGGGGGGGGGGGGGAGGGGGGTTTGGGGGGCTGGCTTGAGGAGTGTTCTTTGGAACCACAGATCCTGGTGCTCACGGGCACAGTCATGGAGAGGGGCCGTGGCTCACTGGGAGAGCCCCTGCTTGGCATGCGGAAGGTCCTAGGTTCAGTCCCCGGCATCTCCAATTAAAAAGGGCCAGGCAGGAGGTGATGGAAAGACCTCAGCCTGAGACCCTGTAAAGAGGGGCTGTGGCTGAGTGGAAGAGCATCTGCCTGGCATGCAGAAGGTCCCAGGTTCAATCCCCGGCATCTCCAGTTAGAAAGGACCAGGCAGGAGGTGATGGGAAAGACCTCCACCTGAGACCCTGGAGAGCTGTAAAGAGGGGCTGTGGCTGAGTGGAAGAGCATCTGCCTGGCATGCAGAAGGTCCCAGGTTCAATCCCCAGCGTCTCCAGTTAGAAAGGACCAGGCAGGAGGTGATGGGAAAGACCTCCGCCTGAGACCCTGGAGACCTGTAAAGAGGGGCCGTGGCTCAGTGGAAGAGCATTTGCCTGGCATGCAGAAGGTCCCAGGTTCAATCCCCGGCATCTCCAGTTAGAAAGGACCAGGCAGGAGGTGATGGGAAAGACCCCCGCCTGAGACCCTGGAGAGCGGCTGCCAGTCTGAGTTGACAATACCAGCCTTGATGGACCAAGGGCCTGGTTCGGTATCAGGCAGCTTTGTGTGAATCCAAAATGGTCAGAGCAAGGGCCCGGCCGCTCCTCAGTCCTTGGGGGAGCATTCTGGGGTGAGCCCCGGGCTCTGCTTCTGCTAGTAGTGGCCTGGCTGAAGCTCACTGGCCTTCCTCCTCCTCCTCCTCTTGCAGGTTCCTGCCAAAATCATCATCATCGAGTCCCTCGACATCATCACCATCACCGTGCCCCCCGCGCTGCCCGCGGCCATGACGGCCGGGATCGTGTACGCGCAGAGGCGGCTGAAGAAGGTCGGGATCTTCTGCATCAGCCCCCAGAGAATCAACATCTGTGGCCAGCTGAATCTCGTCTGCTTCGACAAGGTCCGGCCTGCGGGCCCCCGTCCCTTGCTGGGCAAGCCCCGTGTGGAGGGGGCAGAGGTCCCCCCCCCCCAGCCTTGCTTCCGGAGCGGCCGTGCTGAGGTTGGCCAGGCCCCTCTCCTTTTGGGTCCCAGGTGCGGATGGTGCAGGGCAGAGCTGAAGGCAAGCCAGAGATGCTTGGCAGGGATGTGGGGCCACCACGTTCGCGCCTCATTGACCTCCCGGTCCCGCTAGCCTGACCCATCCCAAATCCTCTGGGGAAAAGAAGAAGAAGAGATTGGATTCATACCCCATGGCCCTTCACTACCCAAAGGAGTCTCAGAGCGGCTGACAAACTCCTTTCCCTTCCCCAGTCCCCACAACAGACAGACACCCTGTGAGGTCGGTGGGGCTGAGAGAGCTCTGACAGAAACTGCTCTTTTTCAAGAACAGCCCTTATCAGAACTAAGGCTTGCCCAAGGTCATCCAGCCAGGTTCGAGTGGAGGAGGAGTGGAGAATCAAACCCGGTTCTCCCAGATTAGAGTCCGCACTCTTAACCACGACACCAAACTGGCTCTCAGAAGGAACCGGAGGAAGTTATCCCTCTTTTCTCTTCCATGATTGGATTTCCTGATCATGAAAAGGGCAAGGGGGAGAGGGGAGGGCCGCGTCACCCGATCCCCGCACCATTCCCAGCCCCCCTCCCGTACCCGGTGGCCCCTTCTCTGTGGGGCTGCCATCACTCTGGTCCCGAGCTTTTCAGGGGTCTCGAGAGACTGCAGGCGCAGGTGGGGGAAGAAAATCGGTGAACACTTTCTGTTCCAGCTCAAAGATTTGGGGGCTTGTTGACTGAGAGTGAGGGGCAAATGTTTGTTAATATTCCTTGCTGAGAAACCATCCTGGTTCAGAGCATTCTAAAACATTCACCACAACACAGGGAGAAGCAGGCGACAAGCAAATTAAATAAAAGCAGCTGTAAAAACTCTGAACTCTAAAACCAACCTTTGGTTAATTTCTCTAAAGTATGCAGACTCTAATCTGGGAGAACTGGGTTTGATTCCCCACGCCTCCACTTGCAGCTGCTGGATGACCTTGGGCAAGCCATAGTTCTGATAAGAGCTGTTCTTGAAAAAGAGCCGTTTCTGTCAAGAGCTCTCTCAGCCCCACCCACCTCACAGGGTGTCTGTTGTGGGGAGGGGAAGGGAAAGGAGTTTGTAAGATGCTCTGAGACTCCTTTGGGTAGTGAAGGGCCATGGGGGTATAAACCCAATCTCCTCCTCCTCTTATTCACGAGTGTGGTGTGGTGGTGAAGTGCGCGGACTCTAATCTGGGAGAACCGGGTTTGATTCCCCACTCCTCCACTTGCACCTGCTGGTGTGACCTTGGGCAAGCCGTAGTTCTGATACGAGCTGTCCTTGAAAAAGAGCCGTTTCTGTCAGAGCTCTCTCAGCCCCACCTGCCTCACAGGGTGTCTGTTGTGGGGAGGGGAAGGGAAAGGAGTTTGTGAGCAGCTCTGAGACTCCTTCGGGTAGTGAAGGGTGGGGTATAAATCCAATCTCCTCCTCTTCTTCTCTTCTTCCTCCTCTTCTTCCTCTTCCTTCTCCTCCTCTTCTTTGGACGCCTTCCTCCAGCAGTTTGACTAGCCCAGGTGTAAACCCGGCCCTTGCCTGGGTGGGCCCGAGTGCCTCCGCCTGTTTCCCAGGCCCTCCTTTGCTTGGCAGCCTGGCTGCCTCAGTGGCCGTGGTTCCGTGGACGGGGGGAGTAGCTCTTGTGGGTGGCTTGAGCTGAGTTTCTCCTGTCAGCACTTTGACCTCGGAATCCCGCCCCCCCCCCCGCCAGAGGGGTCTTCTCCAAGGCTTAGCTGCGCTTCATACACCCAGGTTATTGCTCAGAGAACAGCATCAATCTCCCCCCACCCCAAACCCCTCTTGCATCTCAGTTGTAATTTGCACTACTGTGTCGAAAATGGCAGTGCAGTTATCCCTGGGTCCCTTTTGGACAGTGTGTTTGGGCCCCGCTGGGGAGGAGTGTGACAGTTCCTCTCACCCGTGGATGTGCATTCCCAGAATACACGTTATCTGTGCCCGGGCCTTCCTCCTCCTCCTCCTCTTCCTCTTGCGGCAAGCGCCTTGCTAACGAGTGCAGTGTTTATTGCAACTGTAGGGATACATTATATTAGTTAATAGGCCCCAGTTAATTCATGGGGGCCGCAGTGGCTCAGAGGTTAAGACGCTGAGCTGCAGACCGGAAAGATGTTCGAGACCCGAGTGCCACGTGACGGAGTGAGCTCCCGTCTCTGGCCCCAGCTCCTGCCAACCTAGCAGTTCGAAAGCAAGCAATTGCAAGTCGATAGACAGGTACCGCTTCGGTGGGGAAGGTAACAGAGTTCCGTGCTCCTCGGCATTTAGTCATGCCGGCCACATGACCACGGAAATGTCTTCGGAAAACGCTGGCTCTTTGGCTTGGAAACGGAGATGAGCACCACCCCCTAGAGTCGGATTCAACTGGCTTTTGAGCAAGGGGAAATCTTTAATTCTTGGCTTAAGAAACAGTGAGATGGGGTTGACAAGGAATCCATGTTAATGTTCAAAATGAAAGTTTTGAAGATTATTTTTCACAGTGAAGGAATATGCATATGCAGAACTGGTATTTGGGGTCAGTAATGACCCCTAAGTTTAATTCTAATGGAGGACTGTGTGCTTTTCCCATCGGCTCAGAACTTGGGATTGAGAAACCCCTCAATGGCTGATGCCTCCTTGTCTTAACTATAGCACTACCATAGTTATTGTTGTGTTCAGTGGAAGGTTTTTTTTATAATGGGGCATTTGGACCCCCCCCCTTGTGCTGTGAGTTGTAACTGACCCCAGTACCATTTTAATGAAACTTTCAGCGTAAACCATTTCCGCAGTGGGAGGGGTGGGCGTTGAACCACCACAGAATAATCCGTCCTTTGTCAGAGTGGAAATGCACGGGGGTTCGAGTGGTGCAGACCTGGGGGAAAAGTTCATGATGTTCTCAGTGACCCTTTCAGTCTTGGTTACAGCCCCAGCGTGGAGGAGAGCGGATTTCTCTTCGTAGGCTGAACTGTCCTGAGCTGCACCAGTCAAGTTTGGAGCGCTCTTGTCATCCTCTTGAATAGGGAAGCGGCCGGCTGGCGCCTGGGAGGCCCGTCTCTTTGCTGCCTCTCACTGGAGAGCAGACCTCCCCCTAGGGAACAAACAAACCCCAAACCCTGGGTTTCCATGGCCCATAGTGGGTCATTCCACCCCACCACCACCCCCTTCCAGAGGGGCAGGGAGGAGCGTGTGCCAGATCAGGAGGAAAGACCTGGCCCTGCTGCCAGCTGTCGCCTGAGAAGGGCACCCCGAAAGGGTTCCTCTAAGGCCACTTAGGTAACGGGCCTCCTGCCCTCTGCAGCACCTGGCCTGGTGCCATGTTCAGTTTCGTGGGGTCTGGTTTTCTCTGAGACCGCTGGGGTGGGGGGAGCGGTCTTTAGAACATAAGAGAAGCCCATGTTGGATCAGGCCAGTGGCCCCTCCAGTTCAACACTCTTGTGTTACACAGGGGCCAGAAACACCAGGGGCCACCAGGAGGTCCAGCAGTGGGGCCAGGAGGACACCAGAAGCCCTCCCACTGTTGCCCCCCCCCGCCCCAAACACCAAGAATACAGAGCATCCCTTGCCCCAGATGTAAGAACATAAGAGAGGCTCATGTTGGATCAGGCCAGTGGCCCATCCAGTCCAACACTCTTCTGTGTCACACAGTGGCTAGAAATACCAGGGGCCATCAGGAGGTCCAGCAGTGGGGCCAGGACACCAGAAGCCCTCCTAGTGTTGCTCCCCCCCCCCCCCAACCACAAAGAAAAAAAGACCAGCAGTGGGGCCGGGGCACTAGAAGCCCTCCCACTGTTGCCCCCCCCCCAGCACTAAGAATACAGAGCCTCACTTGCCCCAGACTGAGAGTTCGTGTCTATATACCTTGTGGCTAAGAGCCACAGATGGATCTCCGCTCCAGATCCTTATCCAGTTCCCTCTTGAAGCCGCCCATGCTTGTAGCTGCCACCCCCTCCTGTGGCAGTGAATTCCATGTATTAATCACTCTCTGGGTGAAGAAGGACTTCCTTTTATCCGTTCTAACCCGACTGCTCAGCTATTTCACTGAGTTGCCCACGAGTATCTTCCTCGCAGCCTTTTCTCTGCGTGTTTTTGTGCCTCTTGGCAGCCGTTGTTGTCTGGCCTACCACTGTGGGGCAGGAAGATGGGCTCCTGCCACTTGCCTGGGCACAGGGTTACGGGCGGTTTTGCCTTCTGCCCCGTCTGACTCTCCTATCCTGTCCCTTGAGCATGGGTAGAGTGGGACAGAGGCTGTCTGGAGAGAGCAGGCGTTGTCTGCACTGCGTTCCTTTTGCCTGGACGCGTCCCCCCAGCTTCCGTTTGCCCCGGCTCGACGACTTAGTGCCACGGGTCACGGAGAGGGAGCCTCGGCCCCCCTTGCCTTTATCGTGGGGGCTGCCTCCTTTCCTCTCCCTCCCCCCCCCTTTCATTTTCTTTTGCAAGGGGGTGGTGGTGAAGAGACACTTGTGGAGCGCTTCTCCCTCCCTGCGTGGGCTCAGTCCTCCTCATTAAGTGTGTGTCAGAGAGAGAGAGAGAGAGAGCACAGCTCCCAAACAGTCCCCCGTTCAGGGATCAACCCGGGCTGGTGGGCCAGCTGCACCTCAGCAGCAGAGTGAAGAGGAGGATTTGCACCAGTGGCCTGAGAGACATTCCCTACGGTCGCAAACACTGCTTACAGCTGTTGCTTTCCCACCTCCCTCCCCCGGCAGACTGGCACTCTTACGGAAGACGGCCTCGACCTTTGGGGGATCCAGCGAGTGGAAAACGCTCGGTAAGTGCCTGTCCGGCTGAGCGGAGGGGGGCTGCCATGGCTAGGAGAGAGGGGAAGGGCGCGGGTGGCACTGAGCCAGGATGCCAAGAGGCGGTTAGTCCCAGCTGGCTGGGGTGGGTCGTGCCTGAGTGGCATGCGCCTCTTGATCGCTGGTGGTGGTGGTGGTGGGGAGCACCCTTTCCCGGACTGTATAGCTGAGGTTGCAGGGAGTCCCATCACAGCGATGACTGGAAAGACAGTTAAAGTGACCCTTAGTTGCCTGGAATATTTTGTGTCCTTTCTCTGCTGCTCCGTCTCCCAGGGTAGTGGAAGAAGATGGTTCACGCGAGCGTTTTACGCAACGGGGTGTCTGGGAATGTAGGAATCAGATGTTCTGCTTTAGGAAGAGAGCTGCTGTGCCCGTGCTGTTGCCAGGCTGATGTCGGCTATCTCTGTGCTCAGCTTCCTTTTGCCAGAAGGAAACGCCTGCAGCAGGCCGCTGGTCAAGTCTCCCTTCATCGCCTGCATGGCAGCTTGTCACTCCCTCACCAAGATCGAAGGCGTGATCTCGGGGGACCCGCTGGATCTGAAGATGTTCGAAGCCACTGGCTGGGTGAGAGGCCGCGTCGGCCCCTGGGGGAGGGGAAGGCCCAGGAGGCCGGAGGGGGCCGTTGCATCAAGGCGCGGCAGAATCAGTCGGACGCACCGTGCAAAAACTCCCAGTGCTTCTTCACTGTATAGAAAAGACAGACTTCCCCGTCAGTGGTGGAAGACGCTGTCCCCTGCTCAGTTTCTAGCAAGTGCAGCCTGATGGTTGCCAGTGGCTTTCTTGATTGGTACGTCTAATGCTGAACCCAGGGGGGCTTCGGGGGGGGGGGGAGAGGAAGGCGAAAAAACCCACACCGTGGGGACCAGGTAAAGCTGGGGGAGATTTCAGCACAAGCCCAAGTTTGCCAGAAATCTCTTTTACAAAAGGGGAAAGGATGAGGGGAGGGGTTTAAATCCCCCCTCCCCACAACAGACACCCTGTGAGGTAGGCGGGGCTGAGAGAGCTCTTTCCAGAACTGTCCTGGAGAGAGACCTCTGAGAGAACTATGGCTTGCCCAAGGTCATCCAACAGGTGCAAGTGGAGGAGGAACAAGAAGAGATTAGATTCATACCCCACCCTTCAGTACCCGAAGGAGTCTCAAAGCGGCTCAAAAACTCCTTCCCCTTCCCCTCCCCACAACAGACAGACACCCTGGGAGGTAGGTGGGGGTGAGAGAGCTCTGACAGAAACGGCTCTTTTTCAAGGACAGCCCTGACAGAACTACGGCTTGCCTAAGGTCACCCAGCCAGGTGCAAGTGGAGGAGGAGTGGGGAATCAAACCCGGTTATCCCAGATTAGAGTCCGCGCACTTAACCACCACACCAAGCTGGCGGGGGCAGGCACGGGCTCCCTCTGCACCCAAACAGCCCCCACTCTCTGGGGCCGCTGGCAGAGCAGGGGGCAGCAGCGAGGAGAGGAGACCCCCCTCCAGAAGCTGGCTTCCCCAGGGCTGCCTCCCCTCCCCTCCTGCCCCTTGGCCCTGTCTGGGCGAGAAGATGGGGAAGAGCTTGAGGTGACTCACAAAGCAGCAACGCTGCAATAAAATAAGCCAGAGTGAAAATAACAAATAATCAAATATGCCATATGAAATTCTGCAGCCAAGATGGTGATATGAACACACAGCCCAGGGAGCCCGTTTGCACGTCGTGTCTTTTCTCAAACTTTTTAATGTTTTCAGGCACAATGCCGACAGACAAAAGCCACTATAATTAAAGTTAATTGCATTGGGCATACGAAGATGTGCCTGGGAAGCAACGCGGGTGGTGGGTCGCTTCCCCGGGGGAGACTTTTGTCCTCCTCCACGAAGACACCTGTGGCTGGTTCGGTATTTCTGCCCGCAGCCTGTCCTTGTCCTTCTGCTGGGCAAGTCACCATCCAAAAACGAATGTAACGCTATTCGTCGGCGGCGGTAGTGAAAACCACATACGTGCAGAGCCCCAAAATAGTCTGCCCCGGTGGCCAGGGCTTTCCCCTCGCCCTCCCTGCACACTAACCCGCCCCTGCCCCCCAGCACACGTCTCTCAAGCGGAGCAGGCTGAACAGAAGAGCACAGGAAGCTGCCTTCTCCTGAATCAGCCCGTCGGGCAACTGGGTCTATCTGGTCTACGCAGAGTGGCAGGAGTTTTCTCGGGTCTTGGGCTGAGATCTGTCACATCACCCGCTGCCTGGTCCTTTAAAAACAACAACAACAGGAGATGCCGGGGATTGAACTGGGGACCTTCTGCATGCCAAGCAGAGGCTCTCCCACACAGCCCCTCCCCAGAAATGAACTCACATGAAGCTGCCTTAAACTGGGTCAGTATTGCCTCCACTGACTGGCAGTGGCAGTGGCTCGCCTGAGTCTCAGAGATTTTTCCCATCGCTTCCCATGGTTCCTTTTTTAAAAAAAACTGGAGATGCCGGGGACTGAACTGAGGACCTTCTGCATGCCAAGCAGAGGCTCTGCCACAGGGCCACGGCCGTTCCTAAGCCATGCCTGCTCTCTCTCTCTCCCCCCCCCCCCCCCCCCCCCCATGGGACATGGCACTGCCCTTGACTTCTGTTCACGTGGCTGTGTTTCCCGCAGATTCTTGAAGAGGCAACGGAGGAGGAGACGGCCCTCCACAACCGCATTATGCCCACTGTGGTCCGGCCGCCGAAACAGCTGCTTCCGGAGCCCCCTCCGGCAGCCAACGAAGACCTGGTAGGGAGGGGCCCTGGCCTGAGTGCCCTCCCCCGTCCTCCTGCTTGTCCCAGGCGGTGGGGTCTCTTGTGTGTCTGGAGGGGGGTGTGGTTTCTGGGGCACCACACAGCGGCACAACACCGCCTGCCCTCTGGCCTGCCCAGCAGCTGCAGGGCCGGGCCCTTCGGGGTGGCCCAAAAGGAGAGCCCTGGCCCTTCCTTTTGCCCTCAGCTGGGGCATGGCCGGGGGTGGGAGGAATACTGTGTGCCGTTCTGGTCACTGGACCTCAAAAGAAGATCTTCTAGCATTGGGGATAGTGCAGGAAAGGGCAACTGAAATGATTAAGGGGATGGAGCACCTTCCCTGTGAAGAAAGGCTACGGAGGTCGGGGCTCTTTAGCTTGGAGAAACGACGGCTGAGGGGTGACACGATCGAGGTTTACGAGACGATGCGTGGGATAGAGCAGGTAGAGAAGGAAGTACTTTCCTCCCTTTCTCACAACGCAAGAACTCCTTGTGGGCACTCAGTGAAATTAAGGAGCAGTAGGCGTAGAACGGATCAGAGGAAGTCCTCCTTCACCCAAAGCGTCATTCACGCGTGGAATTCGCTGCCACAGGAAGTGGTGGTGGGTACAAGGACAGACCGGTTCAAGGGGGGGGGTGTTGGATAAATATCTGGAGCAGAGGTCCATCAGTGGTCTAGATGGGACACACCCTCTGGGGCAGGTGATGCTGTGTATTCTTGGTGCTTGGGGGGGGCGGAGCAACAGTGGAAGGGCTTCTGGAGTTCTGGCCCCGCTGGTGGACCTCCTGAGGGCCCCTGGGTTTTGGCCCCTGTGTGACACGGAGTGTTGGCCTGAACCAGCATGGCGTCTCTTGTATTCTGATGCCTGAGGCTTGAGAGAACAAGAAGGCCACAGGGTCCCTTCCCCAAGGGAACTGACAATCTATAGGGCTTGCTGGGAGGGGGAGAGCAGGAGGTCCCGGGGGTCAGCAAGAAGATGGCAATCCCCTTTCAGGTGCAGATGCTGAGGTTTGGTTTCATTGTTAGGTGGGGGTGGGGGGACTGAAAGGAGGGGTGTTCTGTGAAGGCTGCGTGTCGAAGGTGGCCTCTGGTAGGGATTTGGGGAGGGCCAAGAGCCTTGGGGGGGGGGGGTCCTGATCAAGCCCTGCATGAGGTGGAGCGGCCTGTCTGGGGGCCGAGGCTAGCAGCGTGTGGGGATGAGCTCTGGGCTGTGCCAGTGAGACTGATGCGCCTTTCCCTCCCTCTCCTTCCCTCTCTCTCCCCCCCCCCTTTCGGCAGGAGCTGTTTGAGCTTCCGGTGAGTGCCTCTCGTAGCTCTTCCTCTTGGGTCTGGGGCTTCCCAGAACGGGCCGGCCTGACGCTCGCCTTTGCTTTTCTCCTCCCGCCCCTGGCCGGATCAGGCCACCTACGAGATCGGGATCGTGCGGCAGTTCCCGTTTTCGTCTGCCTTGCAGCGGATGTGCGTGGTGGCCAGAGCCCTCGGGCAGAAGAAGATGGACGCCTACGTGAAGGGGGCCCCCGAGGTGGTGGCCGGCTTGTGCAAGCCGGAGACAGGTAACGGGGGTGAGGGGCAATGTTCCCTCTAAGCTGAGTTAGTGTGAGCTAGCTCACAGTTTTTTAGCCTCTGGCTCACACATTTCTGCCTTAGCTCAGGAAGGAGGGCTCCAGAGCAAAGTAATCTATGCAGCAGCCAAATCGCTGGCTCACCACTTTAATGCCAGTCGCTCACAAAGTAGAATTTTTGCTCACAAGACTCCACAGCTTAGAGGGAGCATTGGTGGGGGGTGGGGGCGCCCGGGCCGCTCGGCCGCTGCGGTGGGGGTGGGGCTGGTCCGTCTGAGGTGGTCTCCTTCCCTTTCTTGCCAGTGCCGGTGGACTTTGAGCGGGTGTTGGAGGAGTACACCAAGCAGGGGCTGCGGGTCATTGCTGTCGCCCACCGGAGGCTGGAGTCTCGGCTGACTTGGCACCGGGTGCAGAATGTGGGGCGGTGAGTTGCCTGGATCCGTGGGGCTTCTTCTGCCCAGGCTCAGAGCGGTGGCCGGCTCTCTCCCACGGTCCGTGCCGGGCGGTCTGAGTCTGCCCTCTCCCTTCTCTTGGGGGCCGGGCCCTGTGGCCAGCAGCAGACGGACAGACCGCCTCCGCCACCACCGCTTGCCAGGCAGACGGGAGGGGACCTCCGCAGCGTGGGCACAGAGGGCTTCAGGGAGCGCCGGCATTGCCTGGCCGGGTCAGAGCAGGGGTCCCGCTGGCCTTCGGGCCTCCTCGGGCAGTCCCCGGCAGCCGGGCGTGAGGGCGGGCTGTGCCACCTGTAGGAGAGAGGCCGGCTTCACTGGAACCAGGGAGGGAACCAGGGGGCCACTGGCGCTTCATGTCCAAAACGCGGCAGGGAAACTTTCAAACTGACTCCTGGGGAAGCTCTGGTTGGGGATGACTCAGAGCCTTAAAAACGATGTCGCCGTGAAGAACACGCGGGGAGATACTGGAGGGGGCAGGCGAGGCATTGAGGACGAGGGGAGGGTGGCCGAGTGTGGCAGCCATGAGGAAGCACCAGGCCTTTGGGAGGCGGGGGCGGAGGGGGAGGTGTCGGTGTGCCACGGCCACAAGCTTCCCAGCCACGGCAGGGGCGCTGGAGTTTCTGGACGTCGTAAAAGACTGTGCTTTTGGGGCCAGCAGGTCACAGAGCCAAGCAGGCGGATGGTGGGTCCTGAGCCTGGTTCTGAGCAGGACTCATGACCAGGGCCCCCCCCCCCGGACTGCTGAGTCTTGATTTCTCTGCTTCTTTCAGAGAAATCAAACCCCCCCCCCCCCAAGCTGGCGGTCTGTCGTTTTCATAACCGTGTTTCTTCTCTTTCCCCTCTCGCCATTCCATTGCAGGGAAGCCATTGAGGCCAATATGGGTTTCTTGGGCTTAATTATAATGCAGAATAAACTCAAGCGTGAAACGCCGGCCGTGCTCGAGGACTTGCACAGAGCCAACATCCGCACCGTCATGGTGACAGGTGAGCCAAGGCTGCCGCTGCTGCCGCTGCTGCTGCTTCTCGTGGTGGTGCTTTGGAGACCAGCTGCTGCAGGGATTCACGTATAATCTCTTTTTTGGGAGCTGGGGTTTGCAGTTGCCGGCAGGGAGCTCCCAGCCCAGCCTCCTGCAGGGTTCGTGGGGGGCCACGGCGCCGGGAGTGAGGCTCTGGGGAGTGGCTTCCGGGGCAGTGGGCCGGGCCGGCCACCAAAAGGCCCGAGCCAGATAGCGCTAGGCAACTTCATGAGAGAAGCCAGTGAGGTCCTACCAGGGGGAGCCCCATGACGCTGCCCTGTGCCGAATCAGAGCCTTGGGACTCCTTTGAAGCCAGGTCTACTCCAACTGGCAGCGCCTCTCCAGGGCCTGTGGGGGGGGGGGGAGGAAGGTCTTCCGCACCGGCTACTTCCTGCTCCTTTCAACTGCAGGCGCTGCCGGGACCTTCTGCACTCCCGGCAGAGGCTGTGCCATTGGAGCCACGGCCCCCGTAGTGCAACATCTTATTTCCCACAGCGGCCAGCCAGATGTCTGGAAGGACCCGCAAGGCCCAGGCCGCCCCCCCCCCCGGCTGCTGCCACCCCCAGGGCCTGGCGGGCAGTGCTTTGTATAAATACATTAAAATTCCAATATATATAATAAAATAATATTAAACTACGATTTCGATATAAAACACGTAGCCATAGTACAAGATGGCATCATTGAGTGTCCTGCCAGGCTGTCAATCATCCAGCTGGTGGTGATGTTGACGTTACGGCCAGGTGGGTGGTGGCGTCGATATTAGGGCCAGGGCCATGCAGTCGAGGCAGCCCCTACTCGAACGCCTGGCGGAAGAGCTCCGTTTTGCAGGCCCTGCGGAATGGCAGAAGGTCCCGCAGGGCCCTGATGTCCTCCGGGAGCTCATTCCACCAGTGCGGGGCCGCCACGGAAAAGGCCCTGGCCCTCGTTGTAGCCCCAATACAAAGGTGCTAATGGACGAACTTCTCCGGAGTTTTGGCATTCATTTCGTGAAGAACTTCTTCCAAACGTCAAGATGTGATAGTATTACTACCGTTGTACTGGATTTACATATTACATACTACCACATCTTGACGTTTGTTAGAAGTTCTTCACGAAACGAATGCCAAAACTCCGGAGAAGTTTGTCTATTAGCACCTTTGTATTGGATGTACACATTATGGAATAAGAAGCCACACTATCACACCTCGTTGTAGCCCACCCGGCCTCTTTCGGGCCCAGAAGGGCCATGTGATTTTGGGACCCCGATAGTAGTGCTCTCTGGGGCACATGTGGGGAAAGGCGGTCCCGTAGGTAAGTAGGTCCCCGACCCTAGAGGGCTTTGAAGGTAAGAACCAGCACCTTGAGCCGTATTCGGTATGCACGGTGGCTGACGGCAGGCTGCGGGACATGCAGCTGCAGCTCCGAGGGAGCCTCAGCATGGCCGGGCAGGAGCCCCTGGGGGTGGAAGGATTGCCCCAATGTCCCGTGGCCCTGACAGCAGCCCAGGTGTGCTCCGGCTGGTGCTGGGTGTTCTTGCCTGAGGGCTACGCCGGGCTGGGGCGTTGTTGTGCAGCGTAGAGGTCGGGAGGCCTGTTTGCCTCCCCGAGAAGCAGGTGTGACCAAATGTTTCAAATTCCAAGTTAAAAAGTTAAGGTTGAAATTCAGAAACATTCGTTCTGTAGACACCGAAGCCAAATAGTCGCTAATGCAAAATGAGAAGCTTGGGAAGGAAGGAAGGAAAAACCGGTGGCCCATTTATTGAAGACGTTGTGGCTAAGCGGGACCATAGAGCCTCTGCTTGGCATGCAGAAAGTCCCCGGTTCAGTCCCCGGCGGCATCTCCAGGGGAGAGGGTCAGGGAAGAAGAGGTGATGGGTGGGAAAGTCTGCCGATCTGAGTGGACCAAGCAGGCCACTTTGTGTGTGGGTGCCTGGAGGGTGTTTCCTGGGGGATCTGGGAGCGGGGGCGTGTGTGGATGAGGAGCGGTGGAGGCCGAGCCCCAGCGTGTCCCGCTCTGCTTGCTTGCTTCACAGGGGACAACCTGCTGACCGCCGTCTCTGTGGCTAGGGACTGCGGGATGATCCAGCCGCCGGACAAGGTGATCGTGGCAGAAGCCCTGGCCCCGAAGGATGGGCAGCCGGCCAGGATCAACTGGCACTACGCGGACATGCTCAGCAAGAGCCCCGATCCCTCGCCAGCCATTCACCCGGAGGTAGCCCTCGTCCCTGCCCACTGGTCTTCGGAGGGCCCCCCCCTCTGTCTGTGTGTGTGTGTGTGTGGTGTGTCTTGGCAGAGTCCAGGTGGGTCCTGAGCGGAACAGAAGGGAGGGCCAGAACCAGCTGTTGCGGGGCCTCAGTGGCTGGACTACCCAAACTCAGTGAGGCCTGGGAGATCCATCTGCAGGACTGCTTCCTTAAGAAGATGAGAGAGAAGCCAATGTTGGATCAGGCCAGCGGCCCCTCCAGTCCAACACTCTGTGTCACACAGGGGCCAAAAACACCAGGTGCCCTCAGAAGGTCCACCCAGCAGTGGGGCCAGGACACTAGGAGCCCTCCCACTGCTGCCCCCCCCCCAAAACACCAAGAATACAGAGCATCCCTTGCCCCAGCCTGAGAGCTCCTGTCTATGCCTTGTGGCCAATAGCCACTGATGGACCCCTGCTCCATATGCTTATCCAATTCCCTCTTGAAGCCATCCATCCTGGTAGCCGCCTCCACCTCCTGTGGCAGTGAATTCCATGTGTTCATCACTCTTTGGGTGAATCCTTCTTTCTTACCTTTTTAAAACGGGGAAGCAGCAGCAGCAGCAGCAGCGTGGGCGAGGCTACCCAATACTTTTTTCCCGGCTTTGCATCACCTGAAGCTGCTCTGTGTCCCACGGGGAAAATAAACATCTCTGTCCCAGGCCCAAGACACATGTGTGTTTGTGTTTGGGTGTGTGTTGGGTGGGTGGGGTGGGGGTTAAACTGGGAAAGCAGCATGGGGGTGGGTGGGAGGAGGGCAGAAGTTCCCTCTGCCCTGCTGGAGGAGGTGAGAGCATCCCTGGGCTGGGGTGTCCTCCTGGCGGGGAGGGGAGGGGAGGGGGTGGCAACGGGCCGCCAAGTGACTCGGTGATGTCTGTGTGTGGCAGGAGATCCCTATCAAGCTGGCCCCGGAAGACCTCGAGGACCTCCCCGCGACCAAGTACCATTTTGCGATGAACGGGAAGTCCTTCGCCGTCATCCAGGAGCACTTCCCGGACCTGATCCCAAAGGTCTGTAGGCGGGGCGGCCTCTTGGCTTCCCTCTGTGCTGAAGGCTCGGACCACCTGTCTTGCCCTGGCCCAATAGGCTCCACCTGGGAAAATGGGTTTTCATTATTAGAGATGGGGAGATGGGGTGTGTGTGTGTGTAGCAGGACACACGCAAGCTCTTGAGATCTGGGTTCAGGTGGGCTCGGCCGTGTTGGTCTGAAGCAGCAGAACCTGAAGCAGTCCAGTCAGGCACCTTGAAGGCCGGCGAAGGGCACGCACACGGAAGCTTATACCCCGAATTAAACGTCGTTGGTCTTCCGGGTGCCGCTAGACTCAAATTATGTCCTGAATTCCGGGGGGTTTGTGGCTTTCCTTTCTGAGTGGGCAGTTGTGTTGTTGCGGGTGTTGCTGTGCCTGCGATGGGACTGTGTGCTCTCCCCCCCCCCCCGCATGCGCCACTGTGCGCCACTTTCCCCTTTCCCGGGAGGTCTTTCCCACGGCTGCAGTGCCCTGGGTGTCCAGCAGAGGGCCGTGTGTTGGCGTCCAGTGCTTGCTGCCTTAGAAGGCCAGCCTGCATTGTGGCCAGGGGGCCAGCAGCACCCTGCAGAGAGCCCACAAGCCAAAGGCTGCTCGCCACCCCCCTCCCCCTCCCCTCGGGGCCTTGCCCCCCAGTCTGGCCCTCGGCAAGGGCGTGGGCTGAGGGGCTCTGGAAGAGCTTCTGCCTCTTTGGTCTGCAAGCGAATGGCATTGTCTATATCCCGCTTTCCTCTCCTGTGGTGGTGGGGGGTTTCCCCAGAGTGGCTGACGCCCGTTCTCCTCTCCTCTGTTTCATCCTCACAACAACCCTGTGAGGTAGGCGAGGCTGAGAGGGAAGCTAGCATGGGGGAGCTGAGCCTGTGTTTCCCGGACCCTGGCCCCGACACTTGGCGACCCCTACGCCTCCCTGGCTCTCAGGGCTCAGCGTTCCCGTCTTGCCCCCGCAGCTCGTCCTGCACGGCACGGTGTTCGCCCGCATGGCCCCGGATCAGAAGACCCAGCTGGTGGAAGCCCTGCAGAGCGTGGAGTGAGTGGCGTGCTCCTCGTGACCCGGCTGCCTCTGCCGCGGGCAGAAGACCCACCGGCGCTGCGGCTCAGCGGGTTCCAGGGCCCCCCCCTCCGCTGCCCCTGGGGTCGGGGTCGCCAGCGTGGAGAGTCAGGAGGGGGCCGCCTGTGGCACTCTGTGGGTCTGTGGCCTGGCTCCCCCTGAGGACGGGCCTGGTGGTGGTGAGCGGAGGAGTGCCCCGCTCGCTGGGCCCCAGGCCTCCTCCTCGCTTGCCCTTGGCGGGAGGCGCCCGGACAGGGGGGTTTCAGTGTAGGAGGGACAGCGGATGAGGCCGGAGGGACGGAGGAAATGCTGCTTTCCCTAAGAAGTCACTGGAACTGGGGGGGAGGAGGGGTTTCCCCGTTGCTGCTGCCCGTGGAGGGAGCAGGAACCCCCCGGGGGGGAGGGGTTTGGAGAGACGGAGGAGAGGCCCGTCCGAGGCTCCTGGCCGTGGGGCTCGAGGGGAGCCGCCGTCTACAGAGGCCGCCAGCCTGTGGATCCCTGTGTCGAGGGGCAGCACCGGGGTGGGGGGGGGAGGCCTCACCCTCAGGGCCCCCCCCCCCCCCCCCCCACCTCAAAGGGTGTCTGTTGTGAAGGCACTTGTAAGCTTCTCCGAGACTCCTTCAGGTAGTGAAGGGTGGGATATAAAACCAATTCTTCCACTCCTCCTCCTGTTTTATATGGGAAGATGATACACCTAGTCTATGTTCAGTGTTACGGTCAAGACCTGCTGTTCTGGGGCCCAAAGTTTGTTTTTGAGAACACCATTACTTCTGTTTCAGCAGCACTCAGCCAAATGCATCTGTACAAATCCACGTGGAAATCTCTTTCCTAAACCACCTCTTCAGTCTGCTCATGAAAGACAGTGCCTCTGAGTTGGGTGGGGGGGGAGCAAGCGCCCGTCCCACCCGGGAGTCCGAGTAGAAGGGCCGGGTGCCCTGCTTTGTGAGCCTGTCCTCTCCCCCTGCTGCTCCCCTCCGCTGCTCACGGGTCTCCTTGGCTCCTCTGTCCCGCCTCACCCACTCGGGCTTCCTGGTTGGCGGCGCAAGGGTCGCCACCTGGCTCAGGCTTCCCGTACCCTGGACTTTGGCCTCCAGCCCCCACGATTGAATGTTTGTTGGGGAAATGCCCGGGCCACTTCCGCCCGGGGGGGTGTGTGTGTGTGTAGAGCTCAAACAACGCAACGGAGCCATTAGGGCCAGTCAGGACACAAAAGCAGCACAACCGACACATTGAGCAGCCTAAAATGGCATTAGATAAAGCAGGCCACAAAACAGCAGGGGCAGGTGAGCCTGGGTAAAAAGGAATGTTTTTGTTTGCATTAGAACTTCAGGAGAGCCCTGCTGGGTCAGACCAGGGAGGTCCATCTAGTCCAGCATCCTGGTCTCACACAGGCCAACCAGTTCCTCTGGACAGCCAACAACCAGGCACAGAGGCCCTGCTGAGTCCGACCAGGGAGGGTCCCTCTAGTCCAGTCTCCTGTCTCACTCAGTGGCCAGCTAGTTCCTCTGGACGGCCAACAACTGGACATAGAGGCCGAGGCCCTCATAAGAACCTCAGAAGAGCCCTGCTGGATCAGACCAGGAGTCCATCTTAGTCCAGCCTCCTGTCTCACACGGTGGCCAGCCAGTTCCTCCGGAGCGCCAACAACAGGGCAGAGAGGCTGAGGGCTTCATAAGAACATCAGAAGAGCCCTGCTGGGTCAGACCAGGAAGGGTCCATCTAGTCCAGCCTCCCGTCTCACACAGGGGCCAGCCAGTTCCTCCAGAGCGTGAACAACAGGGCAGAGAGGCCGAGGCCTTCCCCTGACGTTGCCTCCTGGCTCTGGGATTCAAAGATTAGTGTCCCTGGACATGGAGGTTCCCCTCAGTCACCATGGCTGGTAGCCATTGATAGACCTATCCTCTGTGAATCTGTCTAATCCTCCTTTAAAGCTGTTTATTCCTGTGGCCATCACTACACCTTCTGGCTGCGAATGCCACATTTTCATCACTGGCTACATAAAGCAGTGTTTCCTTTTGTCCTACCTGAAGCTACTGCCCATCAGCTTCATTGTGTGCCCTCAGTGAGGTCTAGTATTTTGGGGGAGGGGGAAAGAAGTCCTCTCTGCCAACCCTCTCCCCACCCTGTGCATCATCAAAAAGGAAAGTGAGGTAGGTGCCAGGAGCTCCTCACCGGAGAGAGCATTCCCCAGCCAAGGTGCCACCCCCCCCCTCTCTTGGGTCACCACCCGGGGGGGGGACACAGCGGCAGAGAGTGGGACAGGACGGGAGGAGGCCGTCTTTTGGGCCCCCTGCCCCCCCCCCAGCCTCTGAGGGCGCGAAAGGCGAGAACCGGCACTTCGTACTGCGCCTGGGAAGAGGGGGGCCTTCCGTGCAGGCCTTTCAGCACGAGGAGGTGAGACCGTCCCTCTGCTGCATCTTCGGCCAACTGACGTTTGCGAGCCGTTTCCAGAGGGCAGCCCCCCACACGGAGTGCATGACCGGAGCCGGAGCCACACGCGTGAGGAGAGCCTGGATCAGGGCGGCCGGAGCACGCCTCCCTCCCCCCCCAGCCAGCTGCAGCCCTTCCCCTCGGCCAGGGCTGGTGGAAGCGGCTGCTCGGCACGGAGGAGGAGACCGGCGCCTTCCGCCCTGGGCCGGGGCCCGGCAGCGCAGCCCCCTCACGGAAAGGGGGAGCGCAGCCCCCTCGGTAGCAGGCCGGGTCCTGAGCCCCGGAGTGGCTGAGCTGTGCCCTGGGAGTCCCCGGTCTGGACTGAGCGTCCCCAGAAGGGCTGGGCAGGAAGGCTGCCCCTGCCGGGGGGGGGGGGCATGTCCCCTCCAGGAGGCTGGGCTTCCTCTTCCAGCCGGGGGAAATTCCTTCCAAGCCACACTGCCGCTCCCCACCCCCCACCCCCCAACATGTGGCTCTGGGCAGTTGTGCTGAGCGGTCTCCGTGCAGGGTCTGATGCCCACCAGGGTGGGGTGGGGTGGGGGAGGCCTCTTGAGCTGATCGCCAGCATAAGAGCATCAGAGAGAAGCCCATGTTGGATCAGGCCAGTGGCCCTTCCAGTCCAACACTCTTGTGTCACACAGTGGCCAGAAATACCAGGTGCCATCAGGAGGTCCGGCACTGGGGCCAGGACTCCAGGAGCCCTCCCACTGTTGCTCCCCCCCAAGCACCAAGAATACAAAGCATCTCTTGCCCCAGATGTAAGAACATGAGAGAAGCCCATGTTGGATCAGGCCAAAGGCCCATCCAGTCCAACACTCTGTGTCACACAGTGGCCAGAAATACCAGGTGCCCTCAGGAGGTCCAGCAGTGGGGCCAGGAGGACACTAGGAGCCCTCCCACGGTTGCCCTCCTCCAAGCACCTAGTACACAGAGCATCCCTTGCCCCAGCCTGAGAGTCCCTATCTATACCTTGTGGCTCATAGCCACTGATGGGCCTCTGCTCCATATGCTTATCCAGTTCCCTCTTGAGGCCGTCCATGCTTGTAGCCGCCACAATCTCCTGTGACAAGTGAATCCCATGTGTTCATCACTCTCTGGGTGCAGAAGGACTTCCTTTATCCGTTCTAACCCTAACGGGTTTTCTTAATCCTTTTGCAGCTACTACGTGGGCATGTGTGGTGATGGGGCCAATGACTGCGGGGTGAGTACCCTCCTTCCGAAGGCACGGGGCTCTGTTTGCCTGGGGGTGTCAGACGAAGTCGCCCTCACTCTCTCTCTCTCTCTCTCTCTGCCTCCCGATTATCCTCTGGCAGGCGCTGAAGAGGGCACACGGTGGCATTTCCTTGTCTGAGCTGGAGGCTTCCGTGGCGTCGCCGTTCACCTCCAGGACGTCCAGCATCTCCTGCGTGCCAAATCTGATCAGGTAAAGCTGCTCCGGCTTCCCTGGCGCAGCGCGTGGGCCGTGGGGACCCTTGGCAGCCACCGCCCGGTTCTGAGGCCCTGGAAATGCCTGGAGAGACGGGAGCTCCAGGGGCGTGTGGGGGGCTCGGATCCGGAGCAGTGGGTAGAAATGGGGCATTCTGCCCTGCTGGTCTGTTCGTTTGATATTTAGACGCTGCTTTTCTGTCGAAGACCCCCCAGCGGAAAGCAGACCGTTTCCAAAAAGGGGGGGGGGGGGAGTCCAGTTCGCTCCTGGGCTGGTCCCGGAGCCCCTGTGGCGGTCCCATGCTAAGCTGCCCCTTGGCCTTCGGGCCCCGCCCAGGCCTTGCACGCCCGAGGCAGGAAGGGGGGGGAGGCCCTCTCTCGGCCTCTGGGTCTCCCTCTGCCCCCAACCCGTTCCCTGGGGGGAGGAGGCCAGCGCCACCGGCTCTGCTGCCAGTCTGTGGGGCCAGGGAGGGTGGCACCACCGGGATCCAAATCCTGCCCCAGAAATAGGGGTCTGGGCCAACACTCCCACTAAGCTGTGGAGAGTCCTGTGAGCAAAGATTCTACTTGGTGAGCTCCTGGCATGAAAGTTGTGAGCGAGCGATTTGGCTGCTGCATCAATGAGTTTGCTCTGGAGCCCCATCCCTTCCTGAGCGAAGACGAAAATCTGTGAGCTGGAGGCTAAGAAACTGGGAGCTAGCTCACACTGACCCAGCTTAGAGGGAACACTGGTCTGGGCCAGCCGGGTGTCTCCTAGGATAGGAATTCATAGATATCGGACCACACAGGGTGTAGCTTATGAACGTCTTTACTACCGTTTGTGTATTTTGCCTGCACGGCGTGTTTTGGACGTATCTTTAGTCTCCCAGACACCGTGGCTCCTTGTATCGGTTGCTTTACAGCCGGGGAGCAGACCTGAGGGGGGAGAGTCTGCCTCTGGCCCTGGGGGTTTGGGGGCATTCGGGTGCCGCCGGCTCTGCTGGAGGTCTTGGAGGCGGGACCCCGCCCTCGGCCCTGCTTGTGTGCTGCCTGGGGAGGGGGGGGGAAGCGCTGGTGCCCCTCCGGAAGCGTGGGTCCTTTGGGCTGTCCGGCCCAGGGACTGAAGCGGGGGGCCCCTTCTGCCCCCGAGGAGCCCAGCCCAGTGTGCTGCCTGCCGACCTGACCGGGCGTCTGGCCTGTTCTGTTCTGTTCCCAGGGAAGGCCGCGCAGCTTTGATCACCTCCTTCTGTGTGTTCAAGTTCATGGCTTTGTACAGCATTATCCAGTACGTGTCCGTGACCTTGCTGTACTCGGTGAGTTTCTGGCGACGAGGCTCCCGGGAAGTCCACAATGCAGAGGGAACAGCTCTTCTTGTTGGCCTTGTCCAGGGGTCATTTCGTAGAAAAAGAGGTGCAGGGGCTCATTAGCATGACTCATTTGCATATGCCACACCCCCTGACATCACCAGAAGTGTGTCAGAAGGCAACACCCACCGCTCAGGCCCCACTGGACTGTTTTGGATGGCTAGCTATGGGTGGGGGGGAACGTGCAGATCTGTCCTCGCAGAGGAGGGAGAGCTTGTGCCTGAATAAAACCTGGTCTTAAAGGTGCCACTGGACTGTTTTGGACCGAGGTGTGAGCGGGGGGGGGGGGCTTCTGCAGCTTACCTGGCTGCTTCTTGCTCTTGACTGAGGGCTGCTGGGAGCAGGGGGCGGGGCTTGTTGCATGTGCCCGCTCCTGTGCGCTCCTGCAGGAAATGACCCCTGGCCTTGTCCCTTTCCCTCCCTCCTCCCCAGCCTCGGGCAGGTGCACACGCCCACACAGCTCGCGGCCAGAGCTCTCCCTTCTGGCCCTTGAGGCTCTGCAGGGCCTGGCCTGGCTTGGCCCCTGCGTGGCCTCGCCGGCTGCGGAGGAGGCCCCGGTTGCCCTTCCGCCTGGCCCGGGGTTGTGGGGGGGGGGGAGGCGCAGGCCTGCATGGCTCACCCAGAGGGATGGCCTTCCATCCTCCCCAGTTTCAGGTGTCCTGCTCTCAATGTGCTTCGTTGTAGATGCTGAGCAACCTGGGAGATCTCCAGTTTCTCTTCATCGATCTGGCCATCATCCTGGTGGTGGTCTTCACCAGTGAGTATTGCCCCTCCGGAGTGAGCCCGGGAGAGGTGGTGCGCGTGGGCTCTGGGCCACGCTCGCTCCCCTGCCTCCTGCGGCTCAAGCGATGGGCAGAAGACCTCCCTGGCAAAGTGGGACTGCGCCTCTGGCGGGCCCCGGGCGGGGATCTGGCCGCGGGGCTCAGCCCCCCGAGAGACGGAGGCCTCTGTGTCTTCTAAGAAACCAGCGTCTCGCCCCGAATGTTGCCCAGAGAGGCTGGAGGCCTGGCCCGGGAGGGGTGGGGGGAGAGTGCCCCAGCCTGGAGGCCCTGTGCACGTCTCCCTTGCTCGGAAGGGGGGTGGGGTGGGGGGAAGGGGACACACAGCCTCGAGCAGAGGACGCAGGCGGGTTGGGACCTGCCAAGCTCCCCACCCTCTGCCGGTCACTGCACTGGGCTGTTGTCTGGGGCTCACCGGTTGTGTCCCCGTCCCCCTTGCCGCCCCTCCTCTCTCTGCAGTGAGCCTGAATCCGGCTTGGAAGGAGCTCGTGGCGCAGAGGCCCCCCGCGGGCCTCATCTCCGGGCCCCTCCTGGGCTCCGTCCTCAGCCAGATCCTCATCTGCCTCGGCTTCCAGACCCTGGGCTTCCTCTGGGTCAGGCAGCAGCCCTGGTACGAGCCGTGGACCCCGCACTCCGAGTAAGTCACCGCGGCACGTGAGACTCGGGGCGAGCCACGGGCGAGATCCCTCTGCAGGCCGGTCGCTGGGACTGTTCAGCTGCCTGCTGGCGTGTCTTCCCGGGGGTCGCGGGGGCTCCCCCTTCTTGGTCCCCCCCCTGGAGTTGTCTTGACAAACCGGTGGGGGAGGGGGAGCTGTGGCCGCTGTGAGGAGGCCGCCCTAGGCTTTTGAGCCGGCGCGGGTGTGGGATCTGAGGCGGGGGGGGGCTGAGCAGCGGAACTTGCTGGGTGCTGCCTGAGCCAGGCGACTCCTCCCTCTCCCGCCTTCCTCACAGGGTCTCCCAGCTGGGCCTCCCTGGCAGGACGGTTCCACAGCTGAGGTGTGCGGAAGGGCTGGGAAAGGATGAGCCGAGGGCCCGTCCCAGGCCTTTTCTGGGAAGCTGCTCCAGAGCTCCCGCCCCTTTCCCCGTCTCCGCTTGCCAGCTGGGCAGCCAGTCTGCGAGTGGGAAGGCGTCAGCCCCGGAGCCCCCCATGCCAGGCGAGAACGCCTCCTCTGCCGGGCCCCCTTCACCACGCTCTCCGCCACTCTGTGTCTTCCTTGCTGCAGTGCTTGTGGCTCGCCCAGGGGCCCCGGAGACGCCAACGCCTCTGCCCACGGGAACGGGACTCTGCACGACGAGCACAACATCCGGAACTACGAGAACACCACCCTCTTCTTCATCTCCAGCTTCCAGTACCTCACCGTCGCTGTCGCCTTCTCCAAGGGGAAGCCTTTCCGGCAGCCCTGCCACAAAAACTGTACGCCTCTGGCTCGCTCTGTGGGAGGGAAGGGGGGTGGGGCTCAGGGGGGCTGGCCAGAACGGGAGCCACAGCCACATGGGCTGAGCCTGGGGGAGAATGGGCTCTCTGCCAGCTGGTTGCTGCCCAAAGAGGTTGGGCTGTATGTGCCCCAGCGCTCTGGCAGAGCTCTCTCGGGGCCCCATAATTCTTCCTTCTGGCTCCGGGAGATGCTTCCGGCAAGAGGGAGCACAGCAGCAGCAGCAGCGGGGAA